AAACACCGTTACATCCAGAAAAACTGACTGTTTGGTGCGCTTTATGGGCTGGTGGAATCATTGGTCCGTACTTCTTCAAAAACGATGAAGGCCACAACGTTACAGTCAATGGTGATCGGTATAGAGCCATGATTACTAACTTTTTCATTCCTGAATTGAACAATCATGATGTCCAGGAGCTGTGGTTCCAACAAGACGGCGCAACATATCATACAGCTCGTGCCACAATCGATTTATTGAAAGACACGTTTGGTGACCACCTAATTTCACGTTTTGGACCTGTGAATTGGCCTCCAAGATCTTGTGATTTAACACCGCTAGACTATTTTCTGTGGGGCTATGTAAAGTCATTGGTCTAGGCGGATACGCCACAAACGCTTGACCATTCGGAAGACAACATTCGCCGTGTTATTGCCGATATACGGCCACAAATGTTGGGAAAAGTCATCGAAAATTGGACGTCCAGGTTGGACTACATCCGAGCCCGCCGTGGCAGTCCTATGCCAGAAATCATATTTAAAATGTAATGCCACAAGATTATTTTTCGAATAAAAAGAAATTCATGTCAATCGAATAATACATCGTTGTTTTATTGCAATTTTACCTCTAAAAAAAAACACCCTTTATATATTAATAACTAATCACTTTAAAATTGCTTTAAAAGTTTCATCAAATATTTCATACTTAGTAGTGTTCCATCCTATTAAAGGAATTGCAATTCGAGGATACATGCTACTTTAACAAAATATGTAATTTAGTTTAGCTTAAGGGAGTCGAAGTTCTCAACCTACAGGACGCGTAACCACGTGTATACATGAAATGGTTTCAGAGGTATATGGATCCAAAAGATGTTATGATGGACCGTGATTGTGATAGATTGAACATAAAAAATATGTATATTGCACTATCTTAACAGAGAAGAGAGATAATTGTGCTATCAAAATTTTCACTTCTCATGTTACGCAATTCAAATTTTATGCTTTTATTCCTTTGACATCATGACTTCATGTTAAGGACAGATACTAAAACTTTTTGGGTTTTTTTGTACGTGAATCGTCGTTTCCTGAATATATTTTTTTTGGATTTGGGGGAGGAGGGGTGAAATAACTATTAAATTATATAACTACAATAAATTAAAAAAAGCAAACATATATATTTTTTAATTAATATAGCACATAATATTCTTGTAGAATATATTGTTGTTAAATGAGAGGTCATACTATAACGGGGGTTTGATAAGATTTGCAGCGCTGCTTTACCCATCTTCTATTTTTATATTCATCATATTGTTTTTAATAAATTCCTAGCTTGCTCTCAAAGTAAACAATGGAAAAGTTTTATATTTTTAAGAAGGTATAATTACATTTTATACGTAATTATCAACATACATTATTACCAATTAATCATAACTGCTACAAATAAAAATGTATGTGTATTATAATGTTATTGCTGTCCATGTACATGCAGATGTTAGTAATTATAAATAATTGGGACATGTGGTGCTTGTAACAGTAAAGATAGGTTACGTCTGGGGTATGCGAGTAAAAAATATTACGAAACGCTGGTTTAGCTCATTCAAATATCCGTTGCCCATGTGTGTGGAAAATTATTAAAGAAAATATCATTTTCCAGTGTATTCCAATATCATGAATAGCATTAAGGGGACCCGGCACTTCCATAGGAACTCATGTTAAATTACGTAAGTTTATGTACCTTTTTCTCAGAAACTTCTTGCTACTAATAGATGAAATTTTCATAGTAGATTATATGTACTATCAATAAAACTTTAATAGAAGGTTAAGTCTTTTTGTTAAAAATTAAAATAATTATGAATTTTTTAAAAAATGCCAAATTTTTTTCTTTAAAATTTAGTTTAAAAGCACATTATCTAAAACAGTTTGCTAGATATATCTTATTCCCTCCATTAAAATCTGTAAACGTGTTGAAAGTATGCTCACTGAAAATTTGAGGATCCTACATTAATTAGTTTTTGAAGAAAAGGTACATAAAGGGAAAAATATTGCATTTTTGGAAAACAGGCTTTATATATAAAGTAAGAATTTATAATTTGTCAATGACAGTGGCTTCCTTTTAAAAATAAATCAAAACACTTCTAATTATCGTATTTCTATGTATCATATATCATTTTAAGCAAAAATGTTTAAACTTTATAAAAATGTAAAAAAGTCAAAATCGATAATTTTTCAAAATTTCATGTGCCAGACCCCCTTAAACAAATTGTGTAATACTATTTATTTTAAATCAAACCCCCAGAACAAAAAAAAAACATGTTAAAGCTGTGAGTTTTCTTAAAATAATACCAAAATCAATGTACTTCTTCAATGTCACTTTTTTGCATCTCTGAAACTCCACATTCAAACATAAACATAAATTAGACTATATTTATTTATTTATTTTTATATTGAAGTCTACGGTACAACCTACATACAATAAGAATCAAGGGGAAAAATAAGTATTTTTTTTAACCTAGCAAATGAAAGTAGTGCAGACACAACAAATTCCAGATAATAACATAAATTTAGAAATTGAAGAAGAAAAAATTTCGTCGGTTTGAGAGGGATGAAAAAAAGAATCCGTCGAGAACAATAAAAACCCCTTTCGTGAAATTCGAATTTTTCTAGCAAATTACTTTGAGTGGAAATATGCAAATTATTAAGTCTGCATTGAGGAATGCATCGTTTCAGTATTATGTAAACATTCATTACGCCAAACTACAGACCTTGAAAAAAACACTTAAAAAAGATTCGGAATGCATGTTATTGCTCTTAGGGGCATAAGACATTCGGATAATAGGTGAAAATTCTAAAATGTCTTCGTAATGGTCTGTATTACCACCAAAAAGATTTTGGCGAACTTAGTAGATTAGTAATTAAGCATTTCAATGAAGTAGAGTAACTGGAGTCTGTTTTGCACAGTTATAATTTTTGTACTCGCAAGAAAACAAAAATTAACTTTTTGTTCAGGTGTCGTTCTTATCCTGTGAGTGTGGTTCAATATTACAAGGTCCATCACCAATAGAGCAATATCGTTGTCTCTATCTCAGCGGTCGCCAAACTTTGACCTCACGGACCAGTAAATTCATAATTTAAATCTCACGGATCACTAATAGGATTTTTTAAGTGTTAAATATATTTATAAAAATATTGTGATCTAAGAACACACAAAGTGCACTTAGTTAATATCATAATTTGTAACCAAATTATGAAAGCTTTATTAATAAACCATAATAAAATAAACGAAAACTGCAAAAACAAAACAATTAAAAAATGGTTTAAGTATATGAAATTTTTTACAATATACATTCTTAGTGTGATGGAGGTTTCTGCTTACATGAAGTAAGATTATGGATATTTGGATCCAATGTCGTTACTGCAAGACGGAGAACTGCATTTATTCCAAGCTGACCAATCGCGAATATATATATTGAATACATCTTATGTTGAACTCAATACGTCCTTAAGCCCATTTTTAAATGCTTCAATTGATATACATAGGTAACATACAGGAGAGGTAAACATTAGAAGAATTCGAAACGAGACGAGACAAAACATGTAACTAAAACAATACAACTACAGCAGTACGACTTATTAACCGTGACGTTATACTATGAAGTAGCGTTTTTAAAACTTGCCACGTATTGTTATGAATTGAATTATGTTTCAGTGCGTCTTAAAATATAACTTAAAGTGATGAGTAAGTATATTCCAAATTTTTCTGGGGACCAGCGAAATTTTCTCGTGGACCACCACTTTGGCGACCTCTGCTCTTGCTGATTCAAAAACTGTGGTGACTCCTCCCGGAAGAAAGAAACTAGCTGCGACAGGCATCTGTAAAGGCGTCTTATAGTTGACACCAAATTTTTTTTTTTTTTTTTTTTTTCGTTTCAGTTCAATTAGTCAGAAATATTATTCTTCAGAAGAATGGGTTTTTAGTTGATACTAAGTTTTATATGAGACGATATTGCCTCATTTATCAGTTCCAGAAATATTGTAACCTCTTGTATGTCCTATCTAAAAGTAATACCCAGCAATAAATGTTTTTTAAATTAAGTATTGTAAAAGAAAATTACTATTGCTAATTAATGTATTTAATGGAATACGAAAATATATGAAATCGAATTTAATCAAAAGAAAACACACACACACGCAAAAAGGTTCTATTGTACAAAAGTCTTTTAAGATCAGTATTAACTTATGCATGTGAAACTTGGTGCATGTCTCGAACAGATGAGAACATGATAAGTATCTGCGAAAGTAAGATTTTAAGATTTATTTTTGGAGGAATTTAGGAATATGAAACATGGCAAAGAAGATCAAATTTAGAGCTCTATCATATATAAAGAATGTGACATCGTCAACTTTTTCAAAATACAACGAAATAAAAGGGCAGGTCACGTTGTCAGAATAGACGATTGATTGATTGATTGAATATTAACGTCGCACGGTTCAGCTACACGAGGGCTTTTGGCGACGGACTACGTAATTTTGAAACATGGTCAAGTGACGTGGACGACACTTGAGCTGGCACCCCCCTCTCCTAACTACCACACCACACCAACGGGAGGACATTTCAGCTCTCGACAGATTTAACGTGCATCGCTGCCCTATACGGTGGGTCTTTAGTGATACTGGGCTCGAACTCGTGACAAGGCAAGCCACGGTCCGATACCTATACCACTCGGCTACCGCGGCCTGTCAGGATGGACGAAGACCACACCACTAAAATAGTCTTGAATGCCCAACCAATTGGCCCACGGAGAAAAGGCAAGCCAAATCTTAGATGGATTGATGGCCTAGAAAAAGATTTCCTAGTTTTGATAAATAAGAATTTGAGAACATCAGAAGGAAGAAGGCTGACATGAAAAAGGCTTCTTGAGAAGGCCAGGCCTACCCTGGGTTGTCGAGCCACTGAGGAAGGAAAGAAATAAAGTATTGTAATTTTAACTAACTGCTATTGACTACTATAACGATTCTGAAGCAGCCCAGCTAGTATGGTGGTATGATCCTCGGCTTGTAACCGAGTGGGTTCGATTCCCGAGTAAGGCATGGTTTTATTTTATTTTCTTCGGGAAAAGAAGTCGGACTTTCGCCTGTAATGGATTCCCATCTCGAATGGAAAGCAGCGCACCTCTTTTGTTATATGCTGGGATCATCATTTGTAATAAAATGTCTATATTCTTCTGTTTGAATTGTATGCTTCTGTTTTTCCACTCGTATTTCATATGTATCACAGGATAAAAACACACGACAAGCAACAACAACGATTCTGAAAAACAAGAAAAATTTTCATTAATCTGTTGCATTAATTTTATCCTAGTTGTCTACAGTGCAACAAGACGCATGTCGTAGAGCGGCAAATAGGCAGTTCATGCCCTTGCTTAAGTCTCCATATCTTATTATTTAAGCCAACAGAATAATCTTCTACCCAAAAAAATGTTTCCAATTTTATTTTTTAACACTAGATGAAGGCAGTTTTTACATTTACTTCTTCATTTATGGTATATGTTTATTTATATTTCATTAACTCAACTTTGAAACCATCATAAGTATCTCAATCGACTTCAAAATACCTATTAAAATGGAGATCAAGTTTCATGGCGCACTTCAGTGCATCTCTTTTTCTTTGGAGTTCCGAAATTCTGATAGACTTAGTAGATGAAAAAGACGATTTGAGTTCTAACACTGCTCGTAAAATGAGAGAAAAGAAATACGCTCGCTAAACGTAATGCAACTTTTTTAACCTCAAATTATGCGATGCAGTTGCTTAAAGTTTGCGTGTTCCCTAAATGCAATATTTAAATCATAATCATTACCTAGAATCATCAGGTTGTTCGTTAATAGATCATTGTGCAGCTCTGTTAAGCAAAATTTAAAAAATAATGATTTTTTTACAGATGGTTCACTAATAGCTTGAAAAGCGATAATTGTCGTTGAGGGATTTAAATCAAATAAAAATTAAACTAAAGCCGAAGTGTTTGTAAGATTCGATTGATCAGCTGTAAAAACTCAAAAATTGCTTGAACATTAACACCGTCTTCCAATTCACAATGGGCAAAATTCATGATGGTCACATGATAAATACGATCACGTGTTCTCTGTTGAATTTAAAACTGAAATTAGACTTATACTTGTTGTTCTACTTGTAAAGTTTAAATAAAACTTCGAGTTTGATGATTGTATAAAGATGTTTTAATAAGGTTCTTCAAAAAAAGTTTTTCAAAACTTTAAAAAAATGCTTTTATTATTCAAACATTTAAATGAAGTGCATTTTATTTACCAACGCGTGCAATATTATTTACAGATATATACTTTTTGAAAGGAAGTTTAGAGTAAACAGCAGAAGTTGGCAACAGCAAAAAGCATAAAATGATTGGCTGGAAACACGTGATTGCATTTATCACGTGACTATGAAGTCAGATGAATTCAGCTCATTGAATCGCATTCTATTTCAAAGGTATTTTTCCCTTGGCGTTATCTCAGTTTTTCATCGCAGACATTTTCTCATAAAATTTAATCACTGCTATATCACTCATTCATACGTTATTTTAAATTGAAATAATATATTTTTATATCATTTTCAGAGAGTGTGGGCATTTCTTCCAAAATCGTTTTCAAAGAACACAACAATCACCTGTTGACAATTTGATTGATCACCTAGCTCACATGACTTGACCACTGAATCTCAATTAATCTTTTCTAGAGTCAAAAACCACTAACAGGTGTGACAACAATGAGAAAGACGACACTGAACCAGCAATCAGTGCAAAAAATGTCACCAACAAGGCACTGATCTCCATCTCAACTTTTCATTATCCCGCAGGACAACCATTGTTTGACGCTGGACGTCTTTCCCAAGCCCCACTACAATATGAACGTGTCTCTGATACTATCTGTCTACAAACACTCTGGGTGCGGTTCCCAGCCAAGAAGATGCAACCTATGAACCTTATTGATGCTTATTGCTCAGAGAAAGTACGTTCTTAAAGAAGGTGATTATAGCGATATTCTCTACCATGAAGAATTCTTTTTACGTTTTGATTAAGTTTTCTCACAGTTGTGTTTAGCTAGCCTGTAATTTTCTAATGGTGCCTTTTTTGTTTTGCTTTCTACTAGGTAGTGATTAAAGCTATGATATTATCTAAATGAATATAGCCCTCCCCCTTTGTTTCATTATTAAATATTGAAGGACATATATACAGAACATTGTGGTACAAGGGTCAGCAACCATTTAATGTTATAAACAGACAAAAATGTTTGTACAAAATGTGATTCGTAGTTGTGTTATAATTAAAAAAATCAATATTAAAAGTACTTACGAAAAATAGCACAAAATCAAATTATTATCATTATAATGTTATCGATGTGTTATAAGCATAAATTTAATTATAGAAATTTGACCCTGTAATTCTACTGCTGGTTCACTCTAATCGAAGATATAAATGGCATTATATGCTCTTACACTATTATCTAAATTTGTTTAATTTCAAACATATCAAATTTAAAAAGAAATATTTACAGTATAATAATAATTGAGTAAATCGAGTGTATTTTTAGGGCATATTTTTTCAAATAAGGGTAGATATATCAATCGGCTAAATTTCAAAAAGAATTGTTATTATAAAGCGCTTTCAAGAAATAATACTTCTGCGAATTTTCAATAAACTTTGAAGCAATTATTTTTTTAAAAATTAAACCATTATTAAAAATACAACATTGATATATTTTTTAAAAAATGGCAGTTATTAATAAATATATAAACATTTAATGTATTTACTACCAATGTGAAAAGGGCTGCGGTAGCCCAGTGGTCAAGGTATCGGATCATGGCAGGCATGTCATGAGTTCGAGCCCAGTCTCGCTAAAGACCCGCCGTGTAGGACAGCGATGCACATTAAATCTGTCGAGAGCTGAAACGTCCTCCCGTTGGTGTGGTGTGGTGGTTAGGAGAGGGGTGCTAGCTCAGGTGCCATCCTCGTCACTTGATCATGGTTCAAAAATTACGTGGTCCGTCGCCAAAAGCCCTCGTGTAGCTGAACAGTTAATATTCACTCAGTCATTCACCATTGTGAACATCAAACTGAATTTAACAATCTTAAAATTTAAAATACATCAGTCATAAAAATTGTAGAACATCTTAGAATGGAAATAATTGAGACTAAGTACAACTTTAACAATGGACTCTCTTCGAAATACAACAACATATCAAATGTTAAAAGCAGTTTGGATGTGAAGTGTAGGGTGACAGCTCAGATGCCGACTTCGTCTATAGACTGTGGTTAAAATGCGTATTAGCTGCGTTTGTCGATTCTTGATAAACAGTCTGTTCACGGTACAAGGCATACACATAAGGCTACCATTAAATTCATCTGGATTGAAAATAAAGTTTCGCATGTAAATTAGAACCAAATGTAGGCATTAGAAGAAAAAATTATAACTTCCCTTTCATATTGAAATCTCTTTCCTCAAACTTATGAAGACGATGCTAATGTTTTTCCACAGACTATTCCTTCCACAATGATAGTAAAATATGAAAAAAAAAACTCATGAAATTAAAGTGTCTTATTTTGAGAAGTCAAGATATAGTTTGACAGCATAATTATCCAAGGCCGAATTTAAACACCTCATTGAAAACGCCAATTACAAAAGATTATTTCAATGTCAAATCAAAATGCGGAGAACACACACACACGCAATTCAGCATACAAATCTTTAATACTTACTCATGTCGTTTTAATTGTCGTATTCATTGTTTTTGTGTCTCTACGTAGCAGATGGGATTGAAGAGTTTTCCCCTGGAAATTTTTTGAGGGATTTTTTTAAAAATTTTATATTAATATTTATATTTTTCAATATTTTCAATACAAGAAATTATTTTCTTAGAAAGTTGTTTAAGGCATAAATTTATCAACATTAGAAAAATGATGAAATGAATAGCAATTAAAAATAAAAGGGAATTAGGTCATTTTATTTACAAAAAAGGGAGAGAAATTAAGGGGGAGTAGTTGGTGCAATTTTACAAAGTAGACGCAATTTCCCTCTGCCTAAGAATATAATTTGAAGGAACTTTTATCAGTTATAAATAGCAAACAAACATATGATTAACACATATACTAAATATCTCGCCTCAAAGGAATGAAAAAAGCATGCAACTGGACAAAAAAAGAATAACGAAGACTGAATGTTAAAAAATATTAAATGAAATAAAACTACAATTATTATACCAATGGGCTAAATTCGTGTGATATCATAGTCACATGATAGCTGGAATCACGTGTTTCCAGCCAATCAAATCGTAAATTCTGGTGACGCCATAGTCATATGATAAATATCATACGTAGCCACCAATCAGGTAATGCGCTTTGTTGTTACCACCTTTTGCTTTTTACTGAAGCTTTCTTAGAAAAAGTACGTATTTGTCAACAATAATAACGTGCATTGGTAAGCAAAATGCACTTAATTTTAAAGTACGCGTATAATGTAAGAACTTTTATTTAATTTTGAAAAACTTTTGAATAATCTTAATACCGAAACATTTTTACCCATTTTCAAATTTGAAATTTTATTTAAATTCTGCAAGTAGAACAACAAGTACAAGTCTAATGTCAGCTTTGAACTCATTGAATAACACGTGATTGTACTTATCATGTGACCGCCATGAATTTAGTTCATTGGAGACTGTGAGACTTTTACAATTCCAAGAAGACTTAAGCAACCAAATATCCATTTCATGTTTGATTACAGAACTACAGGATATTGAGCTAAAATTTGTGTAACATTCACGACTAGTGGCGTACACAAGGGGGGTCCGGACCTCCCCGAAGCCCTTGAAATTTTTTCTGATTGATTATAATTCTAAGTATATAGTACGTAAAACTTAATTAAGTATTTGTTATTAATGATTAATTTTATTAATTAATGCTAATTAGTTATTCAATAATTAGTTTTTTACTGTGTTTTGTTCCCGAAAATCGACGAAATCAAAAGGAGCATGATACAAGAATGGTGAACTTTCGACCCCGGACCCCCTGAAAAATTCCTGTGTGCGC